ACAGCTATGACAAGAGGTTCCCTTACACGCGATGAAGATACACAAACGTATCCAGAGGCGATGTATACTTCCGATGGAGATTAGAGAGGCATAATCTCGCGGCGATAAGTGCTCGTATAAATACACGTATCACCGTCTGCTTCTCGGTAGCACGTGCCACACAACCGCGTGCGTCGAGGTAATTCAATGTAACGTAAGGCGATGTCCCCGGGCTAACATCGCACGGAGCGAGGATGGGGCAGGCGACACGGGATCTATTTGTGGTATGGAATGTACCAGATCTATATTACGGGGTTCGCTACCGGCAAGTCGCCCCGCCGCGAAGTCGGGCTCCCGATTTCCCGATTCGCTCGATCGCCGCGCGACAGCACGAAGTTACCTTTTAGCGCAGCGGAAAATTATACTTCACCTGATTGGCATGAAAATCTTTATACAGAACAAATTAGAGCGCCGTTCTTGTCGATGCAAATGTTAAAGGAAATATTACGTCAAGGATTTTCTTTGAAGGATACTTGACTTGGTTTAGCAGGATCTCTTCTATATAATTACGATCCATTCGCGTATACATAAATAACTGCCTATCGTTATTCAAAACAACTATGAATGCGCCCTCGTTAACGGAAAATTCGCGTTGCGGAAAACTCGATCTCACGTCGCAGAGAAAATCCGCAGTCAAAGGAACGCCCGCGACAGCTCCGAGATACTCATGTACAATGCATACCAAGAAAAACGAGCGTTCTTCTCGCGACGGTGAGATACGCGAGGGAAGACGCGAACAATCGCAAGATCCCGTACGGGCTCTCAATGGCGCGGCCTCGAGCCGCGTCCTCGCGAAAAGTGCCGGACTGATTTATAAGGGTTTCGGTTTACAAGCGGCGACGCTTCCATTTCCGCGCCGGGACCCGCCGACGAGCGGATCGCGGCGCGCGAGCCGGGGGAAAGGTTTCGTACGCCGGCACGCCGCCCGTTCAATTTCCGCGCGACGTTTCAATTTCTGCCGGCCGACGCGCGCGCGGCCCTTTCGCTGCATTCAATTCCGCGCGGAGCGCCCCTTCATCTCTCGCCCCGGCGATACATATCGCCAATGCCAGATCCCACTATTTTCGATCCGGTGATGGATTAACCCCTCCTATCCAAAACTATCGCGCTGTCTGCGATTGTTGTATACGCCCTCGTCGGAAGCTCAGACTTCCGGTAGCGATGAAGGAGAATGATTTATGGCGGCAACCATATCGTCCTGTCTCTCCCCTTCTCCGTCCGAAGAAACGCTCACGTAAATGGACTTTATACAAGCGTTTCTCCTTCTTTTGAGGTATTGGATTTCCTGAAGCAACACCAGATTTTCAGGGGGTCTAAGAGAGCGAGGTAAACTCAACGAGATTCCTCGCGGTAGAGATAACTCGGAAAATTGCGAGGTACGAGTCATCCCGTATTGTGCATCGCGTAATTTACCCGTAACAAATATTTATAAGAATGCGCGCTCTCTTCAATCTTTTACTACGTAGTGAAGTTCGTGTAATAGCAACAGTCAGTTTCGTTATACTTGATACATCGATTATGTTGGAGTATTATTTTTCTATCAAACAGATCCTGTCAAATCGACGTTGTAAAATCCGTCTCGTAGCGTTCCCTCAGTGCACATTTCACAAAAGATGTTAGAACAAGAGAGAGAAACGTACACGCATGGAATGTTACAATTAATATAATCGCACTGTTAATTTGCGTGCATTAATCTTTTTCGTAAACTTTTAAAGCGTGCACTAGAAATCGAATACATTATAAATTGATTTGATATTATCAGCATTCACAATAATATAATAATAATAATATCGGTATATATAACTGATACCGTGTCGAAAATTGATGAAAATTTCTATTATATTCCAATAATTGATGTCCTCGATATTGGTAATCAATATAAGTAATAAAACAAATAGGGAATATACGATTATACCGAGGTATAATTGGCGTACGCTCGTCAGCAAAATTCTTTCGGCATTCAGTCTTCTCTCGCTAACGACCGGAGAAGAGCGCATCGTGCGGATGCAGATGCGCCAGACAATGCGCTGAGAAAAACGAGAGGGAAAAAAAAGGAGCGAGGCGGAAAGGAGGAAGGAGAGCGGAAGAGGAGCTTTAAAACGCCGTTATGTCGTAACTCGTCGCGACGACGATCGCGCAGTGATAACGCGACGCTCGAGTTAACAAAGGCCTCTCCTCCGTTTTGCCGTCGTGCCGCCTCTCTTTGTTAATAATAAATACCGTCTGGATGCGAGGCATCGTGGAAGGCCTTGAACGAACGATATTCCATGACTTCTCGAACCGTGTTTAATTACCGTCGCGTATCTAACGGCGGACTCTTTAACGATTAGATAAGTGACGTTATTTTTAGCCTAACGTTGAATAGGCCGCGGACGCAACATCCTCGCTTGCACACCACAAAATTACGCTTTCACGCGATGAAAAAAAAAACGCTTTTCAACCTACTTTAGGGCACGCGATACCGTGCGCGAGCGGCGGCACTGTGAAATCTCGTGGATCATATGCGTGCAACCGTAAAGGCAATTACGCGCATCGGCAATGATAACGCCCGGCTATAACCATACGGGTAACTATATCGCGTGGTCGGGTCATATATACGATGACAATAGACTACCGCATTCGCTCGTATAACGTTTATGTCACACGAGGCGACCGAGAAGCAAGGCCCTCCAGCCAGCCAGCGCGGCGAACAAGAATGGGTGCGTCGAGACGCTGATTTACGATCGCAATCGTAATTGCAACCGTAGAAATGGCCGTCGTCACGAAGGAAAAGGAGAAGAAGAAAAAAAAACACACCGCGCTCGCTGGCGTCTTGTTGAGCCCGATTGTGTGCTTATTAATCGTCGAGCGCTTCGGCGATCGGAATCCGCGCGGTGATCAATTGCGAACGCGCGGTTTCTCGCCGAGCGAGATTAACCGCTGGCGCGGACGCAAAATAGAACGCTGAGAATTACGCGAATCTCGTAGAGCGATATAAATATCGATGTATATAAGGACTACTGCGACTCATGGGAGCTCGGTATCGGAGCCTACCAGCCCTGATGGTGCTGGCTGTAATGTTCGCGGAACGTCGGCACCTCGCTGCAAACGGACGCGGTAACCGTTCGAAAGCCATTAATAGACCCGTCCCGAGTAAAACATTAATAAAGCTGTGAAACGGTCCCAATCAATTTTCCTTAATATTAATCAGGCCCCTGAAAAGTTTGTAACAAATACTTTATAAAAATCTTGTAAGGAAATATTATTGGGGCCTTATAAAGAAATATTATCAAGACCTCATAAGAAAACATAATCAGCCCCTTTCAAAATATTAATCCTCATCCTTAATTAAGGCTTATCGAGAAATTTAAAGAAATTTAATTTTTTTAACTAACTTTTAAATTGCGTTAAATTATATAGTCATCAAAAGTATATTCAGGTCATTGAGTTTATCCATGATCCAGACGACTCGCTGCCGAATCATAATCGGCTCGCCTTTTGCACTAATGCGGGATGATTTTTACTTGCGAGAAAGTCTAACGCGTGGTCGCCACGTCGCGGCAGCGAGTACTATTCAGGCTAATGTTTATCAAACCCTTTTATGAGGGAATTTGTGAAATTAGGGCATTCTTAATAATATCAATAAGGCCTCGACGTGACAATAGTAGGGTATCCCCGAGGGGTAAACCGCTGAGGGCATTGTGGTATAAAGATTTGCGGCATTACTAGGCATTTGTTGGCATTTGTTTGGGCCTTGCTGGGGCATTATAAAGATAAAATAAGATAATGAGATGAAGCAATGCCCATTGGGCATTAGTGGGCATTGGTGTACGAGATTTAAGTCAGCGATACCCCAAAAGGGTATCCCTTTTTAAGTAATCCTGTCGGGGTATTATGAGGTAGGCTATTAATATATAATAAGATAGCGAGGTTTCTGCTAAACTAATAAGCGTCAACATATGCTTGAAGTGTCCCGTTTTATTACATGTATAACACTCTATGATTTTCTTCTTATCCTGGTTTGACTCAGACTTAGCTTCAATTTTCCTCTTACATCCAGACTTAGCTAGGAACGCTTCAGTATTGTCACGCTTATTTCGAAGTCTCAACTCAATTAGTCTCAGACGTTCAATCAAGTTATTTACTGTACGATCAGTTGGTTCCACCATGAACTGATTACTCTCGGAGTGAAAACTGTTTAGTGAAAAATTCATTGTTTGACCGTGCGTGTAGTCATAATATAAAAAAAATTAAGAAATTTGATGTCGTCAAGTTGTATCGGAGTGAATTGTTAAACCTTGTGTATTATGTAGTAAACAAATATTTGGCAATAAATTCCGCACGTGCAGTGATAGAGTAAGATTGTATTAATAGGAAAATGCGGGACATGTTCAATTGTTTAGCTGTAGAGATTAAATTTGGTGATCGCAAATTCGCAAAGCTTGTATTATGAGATATTCAGGGTACTCGTACGAGATAACATATGCTCGAGTGTTAACTATCGCGAGCAGCTGGCTGTTAATAAAAATAAAAAACAAATTCAAGCAACACCACTTGCAAAACGAGGACGTAAACGAGAAACTTCCGTGACTCGGATTAAAAATATTTCAGCTCTTTCATTATATTTGTATTTCATCAACATTAACATAAACTTCTGATTGCAATATTTTTTCATTCTATTTGTATTTAATAAACTCCTAATTGTAATACTTATGCATTTTGCACTTTATTAGCAATTTCTCGGGGTAACTCATATTACGAGCACACTTTTTCGATCTCGCGTAAATTCCCCTCAAAATGACCTAGTACATTGTTTAATTGTACCTATAGATTTCCGGCAATTACAAAATATGAATTCGCGGTATCTCATACACGGGAGAAACTCTCCTCTGCTGAAAATATCGATGTAAATTCTCCGGCGATCGAGATGGAGAAGCTTGAAGGAGATCAAGTGGTCAAAGAGAAATAACTCGTGCACTTACTTGCTCATCGCAGTGCCATGCGTCGAACGATCGTTGTGCAGGCTATACAATGATGCGTGGAGCCTACAGGATTGAATTCAAGACCTGGAAACAAAAAGAATAAGCTCATTGAAGACGCGATCCCACTCAAGTAAAAAGAGACGAGTTGCGAGAATGAATACGTTTTTATTGAAAATCGTGACTCTCGGCGATACACTGTACGTGTCCCGAAACTCGAGCGCACCGTTTTTGAATCGGAAGTCAACAGCGCGGAGTGAAAGGAACACGTATGTCAGGTGTCGTGCGTACACGCGCACGCAATTCCGAACGCAGTCCAAGTGCACGAACGCGAGTTCGCGGCGCATGCGAAACGCTAAAATAATTGCCGCAACTGCTGAACTTGGTTGATGGATTAAGCGGCAATTTGTAATGCCAGGTGATCCATCAAAACTTCGCGAAAGGTTAATCCCGGTTTAAAGACACGCGAACGATCGCGCTCTCACATGTTCGAGTAATGATAATCGTTCGCACTGATAATTATATTAGGTTCAGAGTATTTTCACCTTTAATATCCTGGAACCTGCAATTAACGTATTTCGTTGTTACCGCGAGCGATATTCGGATATTATTGCCGGGTATAATTTCATTAAACAGCGATACGTGATTCTCGACCCATTAATGAATGATTATGATAATTTGATATTATTTGAACAAAACATTTCAATGGCCGAGAACAAACCGATCTCTCGTTCGGTTTAAGCCGCATCGCGGTGTATTAAGGGGATCCTAAAGCCGCTGACGAACTCGATCAGTGTCGATAAAATAGGAGACGGAATTAACAATGTCAATTATCGATATTTTTCATTCCAAGTTCTACTCGGCCCGAGAAATTTATAGCCAATCAACTTGCAACTTTTACGAAAGGGCAGCAATTTTATTAGCTACACATTCCTCAGAGATTTTGGATCGAATTCTAGCATCGTCAACACCAGGGCTTTACTGACAATCTGACAGATGTTTGGCAGCGACCTCTATCGAAAAAGTCTGCAACTATTTCTACACGCCATACTGCTCTTTTTCTCTTCTTCTAGACTTGGGTTTATTGAAGTAATCTTTTTTCTAGGCTATTAATCTTAGTTCTAATTGCACGATATTGTTCTTATATGTTGTCCCTAGAGTACGCTGGTCTCATTTTGTATATATTTATCGTAGAATTCTTGTATCAAACAAACATTGTCGTCAAGTGTACGAAAAAGTTAGTAAAATTTCTAATTTTTTCTCGTTTTTTATGTAAAGTCGACCAGCACAGTCTAGATTTTGCTGCGTACTTTAATTCCGTAAAAGAGTTTTGCATTTCTATAAAGCCAGTTGAAAGATTACTTCTAGCGAAGAATGTCGATAAAACAGACGGCTTTAGGATCTCCTTAACGCCGTTACACCTGAAAGCGAAAGACCGACGTTCCCCGTTAGAGTTTCAAAATTTCGTGGCTCGGACGCGAATGAGCGGCGGCTGTTCCGGTAAGCAACACTGGCACACGGCGTCACCGTAATGAACGCCGGAATATTCATGAAGCGAGGACGCGTCGGCGAACGACGCGAAAAAATTCAACGCGAAGAGTTGCAACCGCACTTGGCGAGAACGCGCGCCGAATCGAGCGACGAATGCATTTAGCGCCGACAATCCGCGAGCGCATTTATTTTTTTCTGCGTACCGCGTACTTTTTCCCCCGTCCGATATCGAAAAGCTCGTTGCGGCGGCGAATGTGGAGAAACAAATCTTTTAACGCATTAAAAAAACGTACGCGCCCGTGTTAAAACAAAACAGCTGCGGAAAGGGAAGAGAGCTTTCGCATTCCCAAAATAAATAAATATTTCCGTTTGCGACGAGCTGGATTTCCAATTGATCCTAGATTCGCAATGTCGGGTCATCAACCTACGTATGTTACATTTTGTTAAAGTAAAAATTAAACGAAAAATATTAATATTAAAATACATATAAAAGTAATTTTATGTAAGTCTTCTCTTCGTTTCTGCAATTTACTTTTTAAGAAAATGTCTCGAAGAACCCGACGCTATAGTTCTAGAACTAGCAACGATGTAAAAAAGAAGCAAAAATGGATCGTCGTGTTCATCTAAGTATGCATGTATCTATAAATAAAAAAGAAGTAACACGCTTTCCAATTAATTTGTCAGCCCGCAACGCGATGAAAGTAGAGAATCATCGCGGTCTCTTTTTTTTTCTCCTCTCCACGAAGGAAAGGTTTAAGAAGTGAAACGGCAATTTTCGTTCTTTCGCGGAAATGCGTAACGGTAAGTCGTGTCGTCGCGCTCGTTCCAGACATTCCTGTCTCCCCTCGGCTTCTTACTCTCGAATTCCATTCGCGCTTATGCATCGACGCCGGTACCACCGGCAGCACGCAACAGCATCCGGAAAGGAGCGAATCGTTCGCGCGTTCGCTCGCTCGCTCGCTCGCTCGCTCTTCATCTTCGTTCCCATCGAATTCATTATGATCAAGACAGTCACGCTGCGCGTACGGTCCGTATATAATCGGCTCATTATCCTCAAGGCAGTCTACTCCGCAGACTATCTTCATTATAATGAATTGTAATGCGTACCAGCTTGAACAAAGGATAAACGCAGTTAACTAATCGCAGTCTGAGACGCTTCTTGCTGTCGCGATAGATGTTTACATCTGGGAGATAGAAAGCGATACGCTCTTGCGAAAAGCAGCCGTCTTGCGCACGCGATGTAGAACGCGAGTCTACGTGGCGTAATTAAACCAATTAGTCGAATATATAATTATAATGTTATACGTAGAAAAAGACCGATAGAAGCTTCAAACGATTGGATGTTCAATTAAACGTGAAATGCCATTTTAACGTCTACAAACGATATCCGTAATTATTACATCTATGTTTCACAAGGATTTTGTTTATTAGCTTGTTGCAAATTCGCGGAGAATATGACAGGTCGAACAGGAATTTGAAGCACAGATTGAAGAGCGGGAATACAGGAATTCCTTGCAAAAACTATTTTAAACGTTTCTCTCGAAAGTATCGTAGGTGCTCTTTGTTCGGAAAGAGAGACGTCTTTCTTTCGCGAGGCGCGCGTGACAAGGTCGCTGCCTCCGATAGTCGGAAAATTGTGCGGCGTGGCGTACCCGTCTCTAATCCCTCACGCGGGCATCTCGGTATCTGCCTGCGTTAGTGTGCTCATGCCCGAGAGTGGAAACCGAGGTAAACGAGCGAGACTCTCGAGCCGCGACTCTGAGAACCGGTTTCTCCGGGTTTCAGAACAAGTAATTTCGTTACGAGCTCTATTCTCCCTCTCTCTCTCTCTCTCTCTCTCCCTCTCTCTCCTCGGCTTTTATTCCCGTAGAGAGAGAAGGAAAGGAGGGAACGAAGGAGGAGGAGAAGAGGGAGAAAGTTCGGCGACATCCTAGGACGATCTTCGTAGAGAGGCGCCTAAATTATTCAGCAAACGATCGGTTCGATGTTGTTTAACAATCCGTAGCGCCGATTTTCATCTCCGGCCGGTCGGAAATCGCAGTGGTAATAACGGTACCGAGCTTCCGGAGTCGCGTAGGCTACTTTTCAATTCGAGATAGCAAAAGTCGCTCGTGCTTAAGGGGATCCTAAAGCCGCTGACAAACTCGATCAGTGTCAATAAAATAGGAGACGGAATTAAAAACGTCAATTTTAATTCCAAGTTCTACTCGGCCCGAGAAATTTATAGCCAATCAACTTGCAACTTTTACAAAAAAAGCAGCAATATTATTAGCCACACATTGCTCAGACCGATATATTGGATCGAATTCTAAAATCGTCGACACCATCCCTTTACTGACAATCTGACAGATGTTTGGCAGCCACCTCTCTCGAAAAAGCCTGCAACTATTTCTACACGCCATACTGCTCTTTTTCTCTTCTAGACTTGCGTTTATTTGAAGTAATCTTTTTTTCTACGCTATCAGTCTTAGTTCTAATTGCACGATATTGTTCTTATATGTTGTCCCTAGAGTATGCTGGTCTCATTTTGTACATATTTATTGTAGAATTCTTGTATCAAGCAAATATTGTCGTCAAGTGTACCAAAAATTAGTAAATTTTTAATTTTTTTTCGTTTTTGATATAAAGTCGACCAGCATAGTCTAGATTTTGCTGCGTACTTTAATTCCGTAAAAGAGTTTTGGCATTTCTATAAAGCCAATTAAAAGATTACTTCTAACAAAGAATGTCGATAAAACAGACGGCTTTAGGATCCCCTTAAAGCGAGGACTTTTCCTCCTAGTGGAGTTTTTCAATATAAGCGCCCAACGCGAAAAATCAATAGTTATAATTTTGGATTTAACAGCTTTTTGCTAATGTGTTACAGCAGATGCGATAATCGACGCGACATTCATTACGTGAATTGTGGACCGCTGGTTCCCGATAAATACGAGATATCGTCGCGCGAAACAAATCGCGCTATTCGATAATAGCACATTGTCGCGTATAACATTCGTAACGCGCTGTACTTAAATATTACACGAATCGATCCATCAATCGCTCGTATCCGACTCGTAATAACCGTTATAGGGTGCGCAGTAATAGACTTTGGTCTATTATTAAATTACCGATACGCGTATAGGCGTGGTGCCCCGATGTGGCATTGCTCTCTTGCAACTAGCAGGCCAAGTTCCGCGTCTCTTTCTCTCGCGAGAGAATCGCCCGTGAGACGTTACCGCGGGATGGCGCGCAAAGGAGAAAGCGAAAGCGAAAGCGTGCGGCGCGGAGACAGAGCATGGTAACTGTTGCACACGAGATCGCAGAAGATTGCCTTCATCGCGCGAGGCTCTTGTCGAGTGCAACGCGTATCTATATGCGTGCGAAACGGCAATGACACGCCCGTGTCTGTCCATTTTGCTTGTATATATAAGATCAATTTATGTAACAATCGCTTTATAGTCGACCAATATGCGCCATTAAATTGATCCAATTTCAATTATGTAATACTTCCTATATATAAAATCAAACTAAGAGAGAGAGAGAGAGAGAGAGAGAGAGAGAGAGAGAGAGAGAGAGAGAGAGAGAGATGTGTTACAAAATAATACAGTAGCGCACTA